CCTCTGAGTTGAAGCACAGCAGCCTAGCCAAAATACAACTCTGAATTGCTTGCAAGTTAAATATGAAAAAGTCACAAAACCTACCAAGCTCAATTTTCCCTCCAATTTAAATGTTGCCATTTGTGTTCCTCCAGATTGGTTTGTACAGCACCCTGTGTGGAACATTAGGATAGCCAGCTCACCAGCTTGATTTTCCCCAAATCATATTTGTTAGCATAGTTATGGGCTGTAGGGGTATTGAAAGTGCTGCCGCGGTGGTTGAATGACTTAACTGTGCTGCATGAATAAGGCTGTGTTTAGAGGCTTATGGGCCAACTGAAAGATCTCCAGGGGTTTGCTGTCATCCATAGAATGGAATATTTGTGGTGGCGATTAAATACGTCATGGCTAACTTTGATTGAAACGGAACAGCAACCAGTGTTGGCTAATAGATGACAGGTACTGTAGCTTGATAGTTAACTCATTAAAAACTCTTACCTAGCTCCTCACCTCCTTTTCTCTACTACTTATTCTGTCCTTGGTGTCTTACTAAGAAACCCAGTAACACTGTACTTCGCTGTGAAGTCAGCTGAAGAATACAGTAACTGATGGTATACAGTAGTAAGCTGTTACCTAAATGAAAAAATAAATGTTGGACATATGTAGCCTACTAGCTAGCAACCCAAGGCTGAATTAGACTTCTGCTTTTATATTTACCACATTTGGCTGACCGATCAGCCTATGCAATTTGTTTTAGAAGCCAAGCCTGCCAGCACAACTTGAAATTTTCAGTCTATGCTGTTGTCTTCAAGATTTCTGGTGACAGATATGGTGGTGGTTTTGGACAGGTGTCTACAATTGCATGTCACAAACACTGTGCATCAATAACTCCTTTTTAAGGTTTTTGTCGGTGGGGGTTAGTTGTGTTTTGATTCATTACTCTTGAAAAAGAGGAACAATCGCCAACAATGACATATGACACGGTTCGTGTGGTTGTTTTATTTTCTGCATTTGCACACAGTGCATTCACTACTCAAATGACTCCATAGTGGGTAGTGGAAAGCCTTCAGACACAGATATTATATTGCCTTGAGGGCTGTTGGTTTTTCAAGCGCTCTGGGTGAGCTAGTTGAATGGACTATGTGGTCTAGGAGGGTATAACACAAAGCAGACTCCTTGGTTATCTCGCTAACTTGGATAAATAATTTTAAAAATGTGCTTTTCTGTAGTACAACTAGATGCAAATCAGTCTAAAGTGTTCAAGTAGCAGCACACAATAGCAGTTAATAACTGTCTATCTACTAATTTAACAACCTGTTATATGTTTACTTCAGTGCATTTATTGAGTTAGCCAGCTAACATGGTAAGCCAGGTTCAAGGTACAATCCTCTGGTGGGAAAAATAGATATTGTTTTGTCTATGGTCACAGTTTGAGAGGGGTCAGAACCTTCAAAATAAGCTGTGGCATGTCAGAGCAACTTTGCCACAAACTTTTTTTTTTTTTTTTTTTTTTTTTTTGCATCTCTTTGTCTTAGTCACACAAGACTAGCCCACCTCTGCAAAGAGCAGAAACCACTCTTGCGTTTCAGAAAGCGGGGTTTCCGTCCAGACTGTTTGTGCTCTTGTTTCGCATCAAACCCCCGGAGGTTTGAGAGCTGCTCTGAGCGGCAGATCTCCAACATATTTGTGTTTAGACTGCTTCAGATGCTAGATGCTGAAGAGCAAGAAGAAACATTGAATCTACAGATGTATCTTCCCACAAAATTTGTCATTGACAGGGTTTGAACTTGCACTTTACTATCAAATGTGTGAAGTATCTGTGGTTAGTGCAGTGTGAAACCATTATCCTGATGTCTCTCTCTCCTTCTACCGCTTGTGTGTGTGTGTGTATGTGTCTTTCTCTCTCTTTCTCCCTCCCTGCCTGTCCCTCCCTCCTTCTCTCCCTCTATCTCATTTCCTCCTGGTTATCGCTCTCTGTCCTCTGTATCCTTATGGTTTAACGCTCTTCCTCCCTCCCCCCGATCTCCACTGTGACTCAGTATTTGCTGAGGGTAGGCCCGTGACTCACTGACGGTTGAGTCTGTCTGTCTTCGCCTAACCCAACCGCACCGTAGTAGCCGCACGCTTATTTTTGCACTCGCATCTCATTGTCCTCCCACCTTCAGCTTCTAAAAGTGTGTGATCCCTCTGTACCAGTGTTAGTGTGCTATAGCGAACGATTGTGCTGACCCCTTCCTCTCTTTTTGACAGCGAGAAGGACCTCAGAGTGGACGTGGCGAGGCAGAGGGAGATGAAATGGTTGGAGATGTTCTGCAACTGGGACAAATGGATCTCTCGGCGGTTCCAAAAGGTGCCCCATGCCTGTCACCCCAAAGCATACACGCATGCAAAGTTCTGCACGCACGTTTCCCACACTAATATGTGTGCATAAGCATATTGGTATTTGTGGTCAGCGTGTGCATTTGTCTCTTACTCCAAGTCTGTATACCATGTGTTAATGCAATACATTTACCTGTAGTATCCATTACGTTTTTGGTGTCTGCAAAATGGAGCCAAGTGCAGTTATTTTTGGGAAATATTGATTATTCTGGAGGCTGAAATCAGCTAATCTTTTTGCCAGCAGGTCTGGCTAATGTCAATAAAGAGTGCCTATATTTGTGGAGGGATCTTGTTTTTTTTTGTCCTGAAAAAAATGGGTGCGCCTAAAATATTGCTTTTGGATTTTGGTCTTTCAAGGTGCAGTGAATTTCTACTGCACTAGCCCTCAGTTAATGATATTGATTGGTTGGAGTTAGTGGGTGACATCCCGCCATACACCCCTTGCTAGACATAGCGGACGAAAATGCACATGATATTTTTTCTCACAGCAAAATATAGTATGGCCTACTGACTGATTTCAGCGGGAAAAATATCTATGACAGTATTTTTACTTTCTTGGAAGATTTTCAGGTTTAGAATTATCCAGTGTGGAAATATAAATTGAAGAGGCAAAAATAAAGCTGTGATGAGCTGGTGAACCCGTTCACAGTTTAAATATGATAAACGTTTTCATAGTTGGCTTTAGGCTAACGTCATGCAGCTCTAAGGACAATTCTTTCATTATCAACAGAAAAAGTCAGGTGCCCAACTTCAATAGCCTCTTTTCAGAACAATACTACACTATATAAATGAGTTAAATAAATAAATCGACTACAGAAAGGGGAAGCAGTGTGCTGGGACTGTTTTACCGTCTGATAATGATTACATCATTACAAGATCACAAAAAGACGAGAGATGAGAGGAATCAAGAATCTTAGTTCTTGAATTATCAGTTTTTATGCACTACCAAACATGAAATATATCAAGACTGTTTTCAAACCATTTTGAAACAAAGCGGAAAGGCCAAAAAGCAGTTAAGCGTATGATTTTTATCTAATAAAACAGGTCTGTTAAGTTACAACAGAATGGTGATATAGAATAGATATTGGGATAATAGTGCAGAAGGTTTTTGGGTTGTTTTAATCCAGTTCTAACTAGTTTGCATTCCATTCACACTTGCGATCTCAAAATGTCCTATTCCTCACCATAATGGTGATTATTTATCGTGCGTAGTTTTATTGCACGATAAATAATGCAACCCATGGTGGGAAGAACAATAAACTCACAGGACAGCAGAAATAAGATAGATAGGTATTTGGCTCTTTTCCATTTGAAAGCATAAAAGGTTTGTTTTAAAACATCATGAAGGTCATGGCCTATAGTAAAAAAAAAAAAAAAAACAAACAAACAACAAATGCTTAACAAATATTCAGTAACACAGGACAAACGCGTCAGGGAAAAAAATAAGTATTTGCTTCCCGCAATCCTTCTTAAAACGTAAACGTAATTAGCCTACCAGTTCACTTCCAGTGTATGTCGGTGTGTGAAAAAGTGTGCCCAAAAGAGGTCACTCTCTTAAATAGCCTAAGTAATTTTAGACAGGCAGTCTAGTCTAGATTTAGACGTTCCTGTTTGACATGTGGAGCTGAACATGTGAGCCCAGCAGATATGACAGATTTTGGCTGAAATGCAGAGCGAGGTTTCAAACCACACCTTCCTCGGGCCCCCCTCCCCCACCTCCCTAAAGTTTCCATTCAGTACCACTTGCTTATGAGCCATTAACATTATGTGACCCACTCTCGGTAGTCCCTTAGCTTCGGACTGTAGAAATCTCAATTTCATGTGTACTGCATTATCTGAAAACGTACAGTAAAAAAAAAAGACCCACATTTTTACGCTCATCAGTCATACTTAAGTTCCCCTTCCAAAGGTCAGCAGAAATGGATGTCTTCCTCCGTAAAATTGTCACGCCACCGATTCACACCCCTCACCTTCTCCACCAATCATCTTCTTGCATGCCCGGCCCTCAGTATCAGACAGTCAAGCTGGATTGGCCAATCACTTATCGCAAATTTAGAACACCAGGTGGCCAGTTCTAATCAATCGGCCCTCCCTAGTTTGGTTTTGACTTTGGCTGCGTGCGCTCGCATGAGCTTGTGTGCGTTTGCATGCGTATGAGCTCAAGAGCAGTATGAAATCGCTAAAGCACACTTTGCATCGATGTGTGGTTTCTCTGCTTCTTTCAGATGCTAAGATTGCATCAGACTGCAGTGAACTTCACCCATAATTTTGCTTTCACATTCGGTAGAGGTGATCCCGCAGTTTAAGTAAGGATTAGTCATCCTTGACCTCTAGGTGCACCCAGACCACAGCAGGAAAATGTATCCCGTGCCATTCCTGAACCACCATGACGGCTCTCTGTAGACACACCATTACGTTCTCATTTTTTGTTTTTGATCTCCAGCGTTTTATGCGGTTGGGTGATACGAGCTTGTGTATTTGTTCCAGGTGAAGCTGCGTTGCAGGAAAGGAATCCCTTCCTCTCTCAGAGCTAAGGCCTGGCAGCATCTCTCCAACAGCACTGAGCTCCTGGAGTTGAACCCTGGCAAGTTTGAGGTATGCTGAATAACAAAACATGCCCTTTCTGTGGAAAAATCCATTTTGTGCCTGTAGTCTAGTGGCTAAGATACATGACTTGGACCCCTGAGGTTGGTGGTTCAAGCCCAGGCCTAGAACACCTGTTTTGCTGTTGGGCCCTTGCATAAAAAGTGTCAGCTGAATGTAATGTAATGAGTTCCGGGTTTGCCGCCTTTGTTTGGCTGAACAACACTGCAGTCAGTGTTCACAGGGTCTGTAGTTGCAAGCGGGCTGCTTTGTAATCCTCTTATCTGAGGCCTTTAATCTGCGCTGTCTGCAGCTGCAGTCTGGCTGCCAGTCTGCGCAGATCTCAAAGATTCGGGCATGAGCTGCGTACTCCTTCTGATTCCAGACCACCCAGCCTAAGGCCTGTGGCTGTGACCCTGACCCAAAGACAGAAACTTCATAAACTTGCTTGTTTCTTGCATTCAATACATGTATTACTGATTTTTTTAAAAATTAAAAATCCTGTGTATTCATTAAATTAAATCATATTTTGAAATTAAGATGGTTAGAACTATATGAACTGTCAAGTGTATACTGACAAGACAGTATGACGTTTCTCTATTTAAAAAAAAAATATATGTGGTTTCTTTTGCGAATGTAGAAACTATACATAGTTGCTTGCTTGCTTGTGTAATTTCCTGTTATGTCCAACATGCAAATTATATACTTAGTTAATTAAATTGTATTGTTAAATCAATACTTTTAACTACATACATTTTCATGCATATCATGGCAAAATAGAATATTATCAGTGTGGTTAAGTATATATGGGTTCATATCTGTATCAGTCTAGGTTCTGGAGGAATAAACAAAAAACATGTCATAACATATTTAGTATGGTTTAGAAATACTCATACTTAGTAAATCAGTTTACAGACATGGATTTGGGCTTCACAGACAGATGTAGCATATACTGACTCTCAAATTCCCTTTGTTGAATGCTTCCTTGAATAAAGGGTTCAAGTGGAAAATAAAACAAACTCAATTTCTACCAAAAAATAAAGAATAATCTTAGATCAATCAGACAAATAAACAAAAAAAATAACTACAAAAAGCAACATAAAACAGAAAACCATGAACCTTTTGTGGCATATAGGAAAAGCCTGCATGGTGTATCTCAGGAGAATGGAGAGGATGCCAGTAGTAGTGGTGGTTGAAGTAATGCTCTATGAAACCTCTGTGGGTGGAGCTACTCTCAGCTGTCAATCACTGATTTGTTTGAACCAATCAGATTTAGTTTTTCTCTCCACTGCCAATGCAGTCAAACAGTGAATTAAGGTTACAATGTGGTAGCCCTGCCCATTTTTCTTTGATTGAGCCCTCACTCCCCAGTCACTTCCCAGCAGCCACTGCGTGATGGCTGCCGCTACACAGTTAAGGCCCAGTAGGGCAATAAAGTTTTCATTCTGTGTCTACAGCAGTAGTGTCCTCCACACAAAGACACAGAGCAGTGCAACATGGGTAATCTGAGAGCTTATGGAGTCTTTGGGTGTCCGGGCCGTTGAATTAGGGGAGACCAGAGGTAGCATGCCTGGATTGGCCCCCTGCTCTAACCGAAGGTTAAAAAAAACGTACTCAGATCTGCTCATGTTTCATTATTTAGTTTTAGGGCGACCTGCAAAGACCATGGAGCACACACACCGACGGTCACACCTACTCATGAATATTTACACTGTAACTTATGTACCCCCACACCGACACCACATACACATTGTTAATGTTGGTGCAATGTGCCATAAAAGCAGGGCTGAATTTACTGTCAGATCACTTTTCCAAGCATGACTGTCTGTGCTACTTTTGCATACCATATATCAATGTCATATATGTTTAACCCCTGTGTGTGTGTGTGTGTTTGTGTGTGTGTGTGCGCACGTGCCAGGAGCTGGAGAGGGAGCAGGGAGACCCGAAGTGGCTGGACATAATTGAGAAGGACTTGCACAGACAGTTCCCCTTCCATGAGATGTTTGCGGCGCGTGGCGGACACGGGTAATGAGCTAAAATTACACTCCACACTATCTTTGTGCGGGCCAGCAGTGTTATATGACAGCATTGGGTCATGTATTCTCTATCAGTCCTGTCTCGCCTGGGTTTATGACAGTGTGCTGCTGTTTCCGGTCAGTGTGTGAATATTGACTTTTTCTCTTTTGCTGTTTTTTTTATCGGTCACCTTAGGAAAGAGTCCACTCAAAAGAATTTATAAGTTTCATTATGGAAATATGTTCTGTCACCACTTATTGTTTCTATAGCAGTTAAAAGAAAACAATAGTAATATTGAAACATGATGGAAAAAATAACCGTTACTTTTAATATTCATCTTCCTGAAACTGCTCTTATTAGATGGAAGAGTAGTAGTATTTACTGTACTGTAGTACCAGTTCATTTCTCTGCTGTTGGTTAGTAGACAGTAGGGCTGACTTGCAAAAATGTCAGAGTATATCCCTTTATCAATCTTGGCTCCTTTCTCTCTCTGCCACACGCACAAACACACACACACACACACACACACACGCTGCTCTGAGGGCCTGTATAGTTTCATTCTCTCACACTGATGTAGATGACGTTGCTTTCTGCGCTAAGTGCGCTTGGGCACACCTCAGTGTAGATACTGAGACAGGAACAACGCATCAAGCTGTTTCTCATTAGTTCCTGTCGTCCTGTCTGGGCGTTTCCTTGTGTTGTGTGCTCGAAAAAAAAACTTCTGCATTGTTAAATTATTGTTAGATGAAGCACAGATATGGCGCGCGTTAATATCAAGCATTGCATTATAACATATGCAATTCTGTGCATGCGCTGAGTCATTGTATTCATCACAGCTTCCTCTTACTGAGATAATCTGTTTCAACAGCAGATCTGGTTTATTATATACTTGTATTTAGCATGTAGCAAACCGCCATTTGTGGTAGTACACAAATGTTGTATATTTTTCGGTTTTCAGTTTGCGTGCTTTCTTCCATTCTCATCACATTTTAATCGCCATAGCATGCCGTTGCTGTACTTGACCTGCTCGAAACTGAATTACGTTAACTATACTCTCTTCGTTTACAGTTAGTTATATTCGTGTCGCGTTTGTTTCCTCTTCATGCATTTCGCCTTTTTGTTCATGCTGATGCATAATCATTCTTGTGATTCCCCATTAGACCACACACACTCTCACCCAATCACCTGCTCTGATCTTATTACCCCTGATCTATTGCCTGTAAACCTGTGCTTCTGTGCTACTGTCTTTCACCCAGGTGACTTCAATACTGTCACCTCTTGTGGTTTTACAGATTCACCAAGGGAAACAATACCAGAATGCAGTGCACTTTTGAAACTATTCAGACTGCCTTGGTTTTTGCACACCTTGTTTTGTTTAAAACTTAATTTAATTTAATGAAAAATGTAATTTCATTTAAAATTAAAAAATATGTTTGCCATCAGTGTACTCATAATTCCTCATAATGACTAAGTTAAAACGTGTTACATGTTAAAAAAATGTCATCCTTGACTGATGGAGGCCAGTAACAGTGGCTGTGTGTGTTGTGTGTGTGTGTGTGTGTGTGTGTGTGTGTGCGTGTGCGTGTGCGTGTGCGTGTGCGTGCGCTATTGAAAATAAAAAACTGAGATATCATGTTTACATTTACAGACTCTCTCATTAACTCTCGGTGTGTTACTAATTGGAGAGGAAATCTCAATTTTGAAAAAATGGTTCCTTCATAAAATCATAGTACTTCACTTGTTTAACTCAAAGTTGTACAAACAGGTCCACAATTCTGAACTCATGGATGAACTCCCCCCTCCCTCCTTCCCTCCCTCTCACATTCACTCACATTCACATTCAATCAATTTGCTTTATTGGCAGGACAACAATAGTCATACTGCCGAAGCAACACACAAAATCACAGAAACAACATACAATAGCAATACAAAGTTTAATTCACAATGCGTAAAAAAAAAAATAACTTCAATATAACAAAGAAAGACAAGAAAATAAACACACATACACATGCACACGCATACATTACATGTATTCACACATTCACTCTCATTGTCTCTCTCCCTCTCTCAGGCAGCAGGACCTGTTCAGGATACTGAAGGCCTACACGGTGTACAGGCCTGACGAGGGGTACTGCCAGGCCCAGGCTCCAGTGGCCGCTGTGCTGCTAATGCACATGCCTGCTGAGGTGAGCCCACATCACCTCTGCAGGGGAACAGTGACGGAGAGAAGAGCGAGCCATTCTACACTCTTCTTTTTATTAGTAGAAGTAGGAATAGTAATAGCGGTAAAATACGTTGTTTGTTGACCTCATTTTGACTGCTGGTGTGTGAACAGACCCGGCTGTTGTTTGCCGTAATCTGGTTCCACTAACACTGTTCAGGTCCTTACTGATGTCTTTCTGTGTCTGTGTCTGACTGTCCAGCAAGCCTTCTGGTGTCTGGTGCAGATCTGTGAGAAATACCTGCCTGGATACTACAGCGCTGGCCTGGTGAGAGCACACACACACACACACACGCACATACACACATGTACACAAACAGATATACCAACATTAAGAATTAATATACTGATGTTTAGACAACCAAATCCAATATATCACCTTAATCATGCAGGCAGGGTGAAGGTACAAATGATGTGCTTTGTAAAGTGCATTTCTGATTTAAAGCAATGTAATCCTCCTCGACCTCCAGCCGTAGTTCTACTTCCTGTGTTTTATTCACCCGCAGGAAGCGATCCAGCTGGACGGGGAGATCTTCTTCGCCCTCCTGCGGAGGGTCTGCCCCATGGCCTACCGCCACCTGAAGAAGTTTAAGATCGACCCCATCCTGTACATGACGGAATGGTTCATGTGCATCTTCTCCCGCACGCTGCCCTGGTCCTGCGTCCTGCGCGTGTGGGACATGTTCTTCTGCGAAGGTGTGCGCCCTCCCCTCCTCGGCGCGCTCATGGAGATGCATTTTCAATGTCGCAGGCGGTCACAAAGACCAAGCAACGAAGTCATGTAACACACTCAAACATTGAGGGGAAACGATGCTAACTAACAATAACTTTTGTGTCTCAGCTACCAGTGTTACGGTTAGATGCATCACTAAACATTTGGCGTCCATTTTCCACAC